CTCTGCTCGACCTTCGTGCATATTGCAATTCCTTCTCCACTGTTCAGCGTCATTATTCAGTTTAGCGACTCCTGTTATCCACTCATCTGGAACATTTCCTATACCAGCAAATTTAAAAGCTTGACTGATCCTTTGAAAAACATCCCGCATGGCTTCCATATCTCTACTCAATTTATCATTTTCACTCCTTAAATGGCGAATCAGAGCTTCATATTTTAGCAAACAATTTTCTTCCTGGATGTCCTCACTGATACCCTTACCTTTGGTCACTTTTGGTTCAAACTCAACAGGATAATCCATTTTCAAACTGGGTTGTCCTTTCAATTCAAACTCCAATACTCCATGATCTAGAAGAAGTTGGACTCGACGTTTGAAAGTAGAATAATTCTCAATAGAATGTCCTTGAACTCCAACATGATATTCACAACAAACATTGACGTCATACCAACTTGGATATGGAGGTTGCAAAGGTTTCACATAATGCAGGGCCACTTATCGGTCTTCTAACAGTTCATCAAACAATTCCTTATATGATATTGGGATGGAATCACAACGAGATCCACCTCTCAACTTGGGTTGAATTAGAGTTTCCAGTTTTATTTCCCCTGTTGTTTGAAGTAAACTATCAAACACCAACGAGTTCTGACTGCATGTCTTATTTTCATTCTTCTAAACTTCTATAGTTACCACTATTTCCTTGGAATTTCCAAAAAACTTGTTGATACGAACAATGATTATGCGTGATTTCTCATACTGACTAGAATCAACAGGTTCTAAAGTAGTCCATTGCATATCTGATACCTTGAGATTGTTTTCATTGAGTTCTTTCTTTTCATTGCGTTATTTCTCATCTTGGACATTTGCTCTTTTATCTCTCTTATCTCCTTGTGCTCTTCGTCAGACATATGATCTTTATGTGCGCAACTCTCCACTATTTTCGAAGCTTTCTCAGGATGCCATTTCTTGACTGTGTTATAGTCTGTTTGATCACAAAACCCCTTGTCCGTCATGAAAACCTTTTACTATGATGACTACTCATAAATCAACACCTTTTGAATATGTCATGATCATGCAATTCAAACAAAGAGAAAAAATAATATAGAAACAAGTTAGTACAAATGAGTAACAAAATGACAAAAAGCAACAATAACAAAATAAATAAATTAATGCTAATAATAATGCAAATGCAAATGTACAAGGTGTTAATTCCAAAAGTGACCACCATAAAACAACCTTCATTTAGACAACAAGAATTCAGTATACCATGTAGTCAAAATATAAATGTGATTCTTCATTTCTTCATTTCCTTGAGCCGTACTCTTCATGGAATCTAATATTGCACCCAAAGTTGTCGGCGTACTTTATCACCTTTGATGGCGCTAGATGTCCTTAAATTGAATCATGAGGTCTCCATTTTTACTTTCAATACGAAGTGATCTTCATGTCTTTATGAAGGGTCTTCTTGTTTTTGGTATAACTGTATATATCTTCTAAGGGAATATCTTGGCCTTCACTCCTTTAAAGGAAGCCTTCAATCAACTTCAGATTTCTTCATTCATCGGATGTCCTTCTTCATGGGTCATTTGAACATCTTTGAATCTCTTGATTTTGACTACATGGTTAAGAATTTCTTGTCTCATTATGTCCAGCCTTCTTATTAGTCAATCACTTGCGAATTAACACCTTGTGATGACATGAAGATGCGAATGCAATAAAATCAAAATAAAATAGACATACAACAAAATGGGTTAGTACACATAATATCAACAACAAAATAATAAATATCATAATCATTAAATAAAACCTACCCTTACATGCTGGCTACCCAATCATGTTTTAGTAGATCCTACCCAACATGATATCTACCCCATGCCTTGTTATTCAAAAAAATCCTAACCGCATGATATCTAATTCGCATGCTTGTTCGAGAAAAATAAACCTAATCGCATGATTTCTAGTTCGCATGCATTTATTCGAAAAGCGAAATTAAATGACTCAAAAAGCTTTTCCTTGTGTACCCTCCTCACAGGACTCTTAAGGTTTGCTCAACCTAAGTTCGGGCTCTATGTTCACTATATGTTGGGTTCAGTTCTAAAGTAATAGGTTCTCGAATTGTCCTTGTTGGTGTCCCCTTAGGCTGCCGAACTCTCAATCATGGCCCATCACAGGCATTAGGGGATCGAGTTCAATTTCGAGGGAACACACCTCCTTATGTCCATGCGGAGGTGAATACCATCACGAGGACCATAAGGCGTGAGCTCCAGGAGCGATCCACTATCCCATGCGGAGGTGAAAACCACACGAGGGCATAGTCTCTCACTCCTACTTAATTTGGACAGAGCAAGGTTTTAGCTCATGTCATGATAATGCAACTGTGCAGTGTGTGAGGAAAAGCGAAAAAACACATAATAAAAGTACTCAAAATCAATTCCCAAGACACACAATTAATCTGAAACCATTAACAAACAAATTAGTACAACTATTTAATGGTTAATAAAATTATAAACAAAAAATATTAAAACCAAACAAGGGATCAAAAACCAAATTTAAACGAATTTATAACCTTCAATTGTAAAGACAATTAACTAATCGACTATCGGCTTGACTCTCTAAAAACAGGTCCCCAACAGAGTCGCCAAGCTGTCGAAACAATTTTTTTCTTTAAAGTGAGATTTTAAAACCACATTAATTCTTAATTATCCTCTTTCAATTGATTTTTAATTTAAAAACAAATGCGATTTTAGAAAACCTCTCGTTTCTAAAATTTTGGATTTCCTTTACGATAGAAAAAAATACGATTCTAAGAGTCGTCACCAATCCTTGATTAGGGTGTGATTGGGCACCCACAAATGTTTTGTCATTTTAAATAAAAATTAATTTTAATTAAAACAACAGATTGTGATATGCGTTACCAAAAAATGAGTTCGGGAGTCGATTACGCGTGGGGAAGGATTAGCACCCCCACAGTGCCCTAAATCGATACCTAGTTGATTAATTAATGTCTTTGCAATTAAATTTACAAATTCGAGTTTAATTTGGTTTATGATCACCGACAAAACAACAACACATTAATTATTCAAAAGCACCAAAATAGATTAAATTAAAATTACCCAACCTTTAGAAAGATAAAGAATATTCGATTATTTACAAATATCGAGACTAGATCTTAAATAGTTATATCAACCTTTTCTCGATAAATTTAAATAGTCGAATATTTCTTTTTCTTCCATTCCCACATTTTAAAGTGATAATCAATTTCTTAGGTGTCACTTATAGGATACACTTTTATTTTAAAATCATTAAAAACGGACCTCAAATACGTTATGACAACCCACTTAAAACAATTTTAAATTAAAAGTTTATTACCCTTAATCCAATTTTATGTAATATGTCGAGTTATGCAAATGAGGTTACCATACGAAAATTAATTAAAAATGTCATCCATTTGAATAAACATTTAAGTCTAAAAATGCACATATAATTACATTTTAAAAAAATAGATAAGCCTATTATAATAATAAAAACATGCAACCAATACATGCTAAATCAATTAACAACCATAAATATATTATTAATATTATTTACTTAAAGTTAAAAATAACATTTAATAATATAATATGTACATGTTATAAAAAATGCATACCACACATTAAAATAATATGAAATTCATCACTTAAAAACAAAACTAAACCTACTACCCAAAAAAAAAATCAAAACTTTAAATCAACTGCCATAAATATACAAACTAACAATTAGGGACTAAAATGAAATACTCACATAAAAATAAAAAGACAAAATTGTAAACACACAAACTAACAATTAGGGACTAAAATGAATTATAATGAAAATAAGATGACCTATAACCCAAAACATTATAATATAAAACTGGGAAAATAACGGAATCAAAACAAGTACATAAGACAAAATTAAAAAGCAATCCTAAAAGTGCCTAATTTACAAAAAGGGTGTTCAAGTTTACGGACTATAACGTAATTTACCCAAAATATTTAATATGAAACATAAATTTAACAAAACTTAAACTAAACTCATGCACACAACTAAACTACACCATTTCATCAAAAAGATAAAAAACATGAATATTAAATTAAAATCTAACCTAATAACTAAACCAATTAAAGTGTAGTAGTGTACCCCTGCCTCACTTTTCTATCCACTTTCCCTACCTCACGCTTTACTCTTCACTTTCCCTCACCCACGTTCAACGCGACTCTCTCAAACGAATTGGAAAGAAACCCAACCCCGACATGCACGACCTAAAGCTCCGGTGAACCATTCCCAACGGCGAGAACTACTCTTTCGAAGGTAAACAATCACTCCCTGTTTTTTCTATTTTATTTTACTGTTTTGATTTTAAAAAAAAATTACTAACCTCAACTCTTCTGTTTCTTACCCCGAGCCTGCTCACTCCTTTGATTCGAAAGCTTCTCAGCCCCGATGTGCGAAGGAAGCGCTCCACAAAGGGAATGGTAGATTCTTTGCTCTCTCATTTTTTCTGTTCGGATTTCTTTCGAATTTTCCGTTCGAAACCTTATTGTTGTTGTATGAGATTTTCTGGTTTTTCGTTGATGATTTTATTGGATGATAGTTTTCAATTTTTTTGAATGGGTGTTGATGAAGGATGATACGGTTGTTCTGCTGATATTTGGTTATTTTACTCGAATAATTGCTGATGATTTTTGATATCTCTTCTAAAAAAACTTCTATTCATTTCGAAGAAAATGGGGAAAGCCCCTTTTTACATACTGTTTATTGTGTAAAAAACAAATAAAAAGGTCTCTCCTCTTCTCGTAATGGTCTCTCTTGGCTGGTTCCCTTTTTTTTGGCTATGTATTCTCCGTCTCTCCCCATTCTCTCGGTTAATTCTTCTATGGGTTTTTTTTCTCTGTATTCTTTTTCTTTTCTTTTCCTCAATACCCCTCTCTATGTTCTTTAGTGGTTAATTCCATTCAGAACTCCCATTTACCGTTTTTCCCTTGATCATGGACCCCGGTATTCACTAACTTCTCTGTCATCCTTGTTAACTCCCCCCATAAACGTCTTTATTTTTCAGGGAGTTCTCACTTGGAATGGAGGTTGCTCAGCTGGATCCTTGGATTTGAATTGGGCCTCCAGCTGTCTTGGGTACGAGTTGGGTCACAAGTAATTTTCTATAAGCCCGGACAAAACGAGCATCTACACTATTATTTTGGAATACACAGGGAGTGGCACACCCAACTTTCCGAAGACAGTTTAGGAAACTAATTAAAGAACATAACCCCAGTATCATAGCGCTCTTCGAAACTCATACAAGTGGAGCTAATTCAGACAAGATTATCAAATCATTCGGGTTCGACAACTCCTTCAGAGTAGAAGCGCAAGGCTTCAGCAGAGGTATCTGGATTCTTTGGAACACATCTGTTGAAGTCAAGATTACAAAGGTGGCACCTTTGTTCAGCTTTCTTCACATAGCTATCAGGAAACATCTATGGGATATGCTTTCCAACCTTAAACCATCAAACTACGAACCATGGATACTCGGAGGAGACTTCAATTGCATCCTAAGAAACGAAGATAGACTCGGGGGAAACCTAAACAATAAGGGATGCAGTAAAGTCTTTAACGACATTGTTTTCAAAAACGCTTTGAAGGAAGTTGATTATCAAGGTCAACAGTTCACATGGCGTCGTGGAAATCTTTGGCAACGATTGGATCGTTGCTTGATGAATTTAAGATTGGAAAACTTACATCCGAACTCTGAAGTAATTAACTTAGAGCATATCGGATCTGACCACAGTCCCCTACTCTTACGGACACTTGCGCAACCGACGACGAAAAAGAACAAGTAATTCCGCTTCTTAGCAGCTTGGCTAGACCATCCAAAGTTCAAACATTTTCTGGAATCAGTCTGGATTCCAAATGGAGAAGTCTTGGCCAATATTAAACAATTCTCCCATAGAGTAACGGATTGGAATCGCAATTCGTTTGGGACCATAGGACAAAAAAAGAAGAAAATCCCAGCCCGACTGAGAGGTATTGATAAAGCCCCTCAAAATCACTACTCGGAAAATCTTGTAAACCTCGAAAAAGAGCTAAAAGTGGAGTTGAATTCTATAGTACACGAAGAGGAGTTTCTATGGGCACAAAGGGCCCGTTCTAACTGGATCAATCATGGAGACAAAAATACGAGATATTTTCATACGAAGGCCATCTCGAAATAAAAAAAAACACCGCTCTAAAGTTCTCATCTGGAGAATAGACCAAGAACCAAGAACAATTAAAATCGTACATCACAAGATTTTTTAAGGAGCTGTTCATGTGTTCACAACCCGCAACAACACCCTACACTTAATGGAACCTATTCCCCAGAATAGATGAGGATAAGTTAAACGTTTTAAGTAAACATGTTGAAGACTCAGAAATTAATGAAGCAATTTTCAGTATGGGTTCATTAAAAGCTCCAGGAGCGGATGGTATCCACGCAATATTTTATCAACAAAATTGGAATATAGTTTGTGAAAGCGTACGCCAGTTTGTTAAAAGAATCTTTACCGGGGAACCAACTCCAGAAGCGATAAATAGAACATTGGTAGTACTTCTTTCTAAAGTTGAGAAGCCTGAGTCAATCACACAGTTCAGACCAAATAGTCTATGCTCAGTAATATACAAAATCGTCACCAAGGTTATTGTGATCCGGATAAAACCTCTATTGTCCAGTTTGATAACAAACAATCAAACAAGCTTTATCCCAGAACGAACAATTATTGACATCATATTAGCACATGAGACGACTAACTCAATGAACCGGAAGAAAGGAAGAAAAGGGTGGATGGCAATTAAAATTGATTTGGAAAAAGCATACGACCGACTTGAATGGTCCTCCATCGACGACACTCTCGTTGACGTTAGATGTCCGAACATGCTAAGGCGAGTCATCATGCAATGTGTAAGCTCATCCACTATGCAGGTAGTCTGGAATAGAGAGTTATCATAAATGTTCAAACTTTCAAGAGCAATTCGGCAAGGCAATCATTTGTCACCATACCTATTCGTTCTTTGTATGGAAAGATTGGCTCAAGCGATTCTTAAAGAAGTCGAACAAGGGGATTGGAAACCAATCAAATTAGCCACTACAGGTCCGACCTTGTCCCACCTATTCTTTGCTGATGACTTGATACTATTTGTAGAAGCGGATAACAATCAACTCGAGGTGATTAAAGAGGTCCTCCATAAGTTCTGCCTGAGCTCTGGCCAAAAAGTTAGCATCCTTAAAACCAACATATTTTTCTCCAAGAATGTCTCTCCCCAAACCAAGAATCTTTTTAGTGGAGGTTTCAGATATAAAGAAGTTAATAACCTCGGAAGATATTTATGTGTACCCCTCATTCATAAACGGGTTACAAGTGATACTTGTCGACTTATTGTCCAACGAGTTCGTGATAGATTATCGGGATGGAAACAAGCATGCCTCTCCTTGGCTGGACGAATAGTTTTAGCTAAATCAGTTCTTACGGCTATACCATTCTATGCCGTGCAAACAACAATACTTCCAAAAAGGTGTATGCGATGAAATTGAGAGATTAATCCGAGGATTCATTTGGGGAAATTCTCAGGAGAAGGGGGCGTGAACCTGGTCAACTAGGATTCATTATGCTTGCCTATCAAAAATGGTGGTCAAGGTTTAAAACACCTAGGAACGAAAAATAAGGCATTCATAATGAAATTAGCGTACAAATTCATCACCCGACCAGATCTACTTTGAGTCTAGGTTTTGCGAAGCAAATACAAGATAAAAGAACAAACTCCCCGTACACTACGGAGGCACATGGCTACGGAGTCGAACTGTGGAATCTGTGGATCTGCATATGAAGACATTGACCACATAATGAGATACTGCCCAACAGCTTACACAATATGGGTGAAATTAATATCTCCAGGTAAGTTAAATGAATTTTTGCAAGGGAATATGTATTCTTGGTTAACCAAAAACCTTACCTGCAAAGAATCTCCCTCGCCGGGAATTGATGAGTGGAGCATTTATTTTAGCGCTATGCTATGGACTTTATGGGAGAGAAGGAATATATCCATTTTTATCCCGACATGATTGAAAGACGCGCTGTCTTAGAAAGAGTTAGAAGACTAGTACATGAAATCTCCATTTCGAATAGTTCTCATCCAAACCAAAGATCAAGACATCAGATAACTCCCACCACCTGGATACCACCTGAACCTCCATGGTGCAAGATTAATACTGATGGCTCAAAGAAAACTGGCACAGGAGATTCCGCATGTGGGGGAATAGCTCGAAACCACGAAGGATTATGGTTATGGGGATTCACTAAATTAGGAGTCTGCTTGATTCTGGAAGCGGAACAATGGGGAATACTCGAAGGCCTCCGACCCGCCTGGGAAGCTGGAGAGAAACTAGTAATTATAGAAGTGGACAGTAGTGAAGCTGTGCGTTTAGTTCAGGATAACTCAAGCGAAGGAAGACCTCGCACCCTACTTCAGCATATAGATGAATTACATGCTAAGGATTGGAGAACTACGCTGAACCATGTCCCCTGAGAAGCTAATGGAGCATCTGACGCCATGACAAATCATGCATGGACTCTTCAAGATGGGTTCCACAAAATCACTCATGCCCTAGAAGCAGTACGAGTCAAAATAGAAGCAGATAGAGTAGTTCATAGTGCCTTAGTTTAGTAGAGTAGTTTATAGTACCTTAGCTTAATAGCTCCCTTTACAACCAAAAAAATTAAGCGAATTGAACTCATCATTAATCAATATTTTTCAAATATACCTAATTTTAACCGGATGCATCAAATTTGTTATTCAAATCTTTAATTAAGACCTAATGTGATATAATTATAAAATTACCAAATTATTTCCCTAAAGTCCAATCATAAATAAGAATAACTAAAGAGAGTGTCTAAGTGTCAAAATTAAAGTGAATTAAAACCAATTATGACACTAATTATTTAACCAAAAAATAAATTAACCAGTTAACATGTTATTAAAAATTTATTTATAAAAAAATAAGACTACAATTAAACAAAATTAATGCCATAAAAAATTCTAATCATGTCAATTAATAATCCAATTAAGCCAATTAACCTAATCAAATTGATTAATAACATAATTAAATGTGAATTTTATAACACTAATTATTTAATTTGAAATCAAATTAATCAATTAATAAATTATTAACCAATTATAAAAACTAAGACCATAATAATAAATATCAAAAGATTAATTGTACCAATTAATATCCAGTTAAGTCAACTAATACTCTAATCATAAAAATCAATACCATAAAAAACTTGACAGATTACCTTATTATATAATTATTATATAAGTTAATGGTTCTTGTGTTTAGGGAGTAAGGAGATTGAAAGATAGAAAATTTGCACAAAGATTTATAGTGGTTCGACTTCTCAACCAAGTCTACATGCACTACCTTATCTCCTCACCAAGGATTTTCTATGCTCACATGTCACTAGCTTGAATGAATTCAATTAAAGTCCAAAAACATTTTGCCATAATTGTTATATCAAAACTTAGTTCAATAATCTCCCCTTTTTGATATAATAAAACATTTGAAAAACAATTTATGGCAAAACTCCCCATTAATAAAATATTTAATGAAAAAGATATCAATTGTAAGTAGGGTGCAAGGCACTGCTAACTAGGGTGCAAGGATCCTCTTGCTTGTTAGAATGTCTTGACATGTATCAGTCAGTGTACAAGGCACTACTAACTAGGGTGCAAGGACCAACTACCTGCGAGGATGGGGTAGCATGGTGATGCCTTTTTGATGTAGAATTTTTAGATCTCACCCTAAGTAGGCTAGAGGGGTGTGTGTCCCGAGATACATCGAAACCCTTTGAACACACCATGATGCCTACCTCAGTATTTTGTGTTTAGTACACTTGTATGATTATAACTTTGCTTGCTAGTATGATCATGTGGCGATCACATGTAGCAAGTTTGGTCATTAGTGTAACACTAAGCTTGTGAGCTTAGCAATATGAATTTGTTTCCATATGCATATTCTTAGAAGGAACATCGAGGGGCTTATTTCACTGTTGACTTTTAGACCAATCAGAGTAGTAGAATATGTCTTGACTTACTTATTAGAGGGTATATTCTATTCATAGACCTTCATGCATCGAGTTGTAATCCTATTTTGAGATTTTCTATTTGTAAAGTTTAAGATGTATTTTGGGAGGTCCCCATATTTGTAAACTCAAATAATGTTATCTTCTCTTTTGTCATTATTAGATGATTTACTTATGATGTTCTTCCAATGTTTTTAAAGTAAATTTTTGGGTTAGCCACTTGGGTGGTCCCGTTTAATCCATCGATCTTCGGGTCATATTGGATTAGGATGTTACATTTAGTGTTATCAGGGCATTAGGTTCAGTCATTCTTAAGACCCGTGGGTTAGAGTCAAAGAGTGTCTTTATATGTACATCCCTCCAGAGCATCAAGAGTACTTTTGTGTCTGAAATAGCGATAATAACTCCTCATTTATTTCTTATTTTAGAGACACATATAGACAATAGCATAGCTCATAGTCATGAGGGTAGGGACGAGAGTCGAACCTCCCTAGTTGGTGATAGCGGTGACGAGTTTATCCTAGACTTAGACTTTAAGATAGTTGAGGATGCTTGGGTCGATGAGGTGACCTTCTTCTAAGCTTTGATGGAAGCCCTTAGACACATAGTGCCACCCCCAGGACACCAGCTGCAGCATCTACCCAGTCTACAACGCCAGCCCCTCTCGTAGTTGCATTATTGGAGCACATAGTTGAGAGACTACGGAGGTATAAGACCACTTACTTTTT